CAGCCCTCTGGACTCAATATCGAGTTCAATAATTTTATAGCCTAAACTCTCCCATGTCACAGCCCCCCAGGCCTTGTCACCACATAGCCTGCCATTACACACCCCCTGTTGTTAGTCACTAACAGTCCCCATTAACAACTATTAACCCTCCCAGCCAGATCATTATCTACTCCTTTGTCCAACTGCTCTTCTCTGTCTTCGGGCTCTGTCCTTTATCCGATCGTTTACTCTGTACACCCTTCCCCCATCCTATCTTCTGCATATAAACCAACATTTTCCCAGCTACCATCAGTTCTGACGAAGGGTCACTGGACCCGAAATGTTAGCTTTAATTTTTCTTCACAGATGCTGCCAGACCTGCTGAGCTTTTCCAGTAACTTCTGTTTTTGATTTTCTGAGAAACTGTGAACACTTTTGAACATTCTTTTTCAAGATGGCAGCAGTGGCAGCATCTGGGTTCCTGTGCCAGGGCTTGCCCTCTTCTTCTGCTATCTCTTTTCCTTTGATTTGTTCGGAAGTCACACGACACCAGGCCACAGTCCAACAGGCTTATTTGAAATCACAACCTTTTGGAGCGCTGCTCCCCTCCACTTCACCTGACAAAGGAGCAGTGCTCCAAAAGCTTGTGATTTAAAATAAACCTGTTGGACTATAATCTGGTGTCGTGTGATTTCTGACCTTCTCCACCTCAGACCAACACTGGCACCTCCATGTCGTTGCTACCATCGACAAAACAAACTGTCAGCTCAAAGTGGAGAGGATCTCCAAGAAGATCACACATAATGACACAGACATCAAGCTTCTGCAGAGATGCCAGAAAGCAGAGAAGATCCTGAAAGGGTTACAGATTACAAACCCACTCAAGTCGACCTACAGCACAGACTATGCTGAGGGACTCTGCCCTCGCACCTGTCTCACCTTCCTCAATCATCTCATACACCAGTGCTACAGCAGATGCCATAACCTTGAAATTGAGATAGAGTCCATATTCTCAGCTTGTGCTCAGGATACAGTGGACCAGCTACGAGGCAGTGCCAAGCAGACAAGGCAACAGAACTATGCCACCTACATACACACCAAGAACAGGAAACTGGAGAAACTTGGCATCACCACCAGCAGTAACCAAACCTCCCCTGTTTTCACGGTTGAAACCAGTACCACCACAAGACTTCACCTGACGAATGAGCAGTGCCATGAAAGCTTGTGTTTTCAAATAAACCTGTTGGACTATAACCTACTGTCATGTAATTTCTGACCTTGTTCACCCCAGTCCAGCACCGGCACCTCCACATCATGACCTTTTATTTGCTGTTTTCTCCTCTTCTTTTCTCAGTTTGTTTTTAGTTTTTTACATTCTAAAGAGAGCTCTTTTGGTAGGAAGGTGGCTTCAATAGAGCCTGGAGCGGTGGTGGCTACAGAGACAGCCTGCCTGTAATTCAGAGAAACTGCTCTGGAACGCACAGCACTTTGGAGCTTTCCTGCCTCTCGTCTTCTGACTGATGGTCACCCGTTCCCCTTTCTGACTGCACTTCTTTAAATACAGGGTGACCATATCTAAAAATGTGCTCTCCACATAACACACAGCCTCAAGGATGCACTGCTGACGCTCAAGCTCCGAAAGCTGGCCCTCAGGCTGATAAAACTGGTGGCACCTCCCACAGATGTGGCAATTCAGTGTGCCTGGAGCGATAAAGATTTCCCACATATTACAATCATGCACCACTTGGGACTGAGCTCCCCTACCTTACCTTGTCTTAGTCTTAAACTTACTACCCTAACATTGACTTTACTCTCCTTCCCTCTCCCTACTTTGGTTTACGTAGATTATTTTGTTGTAATGTTTTGACTTTCACGTGTCTCTAGTGCATAATAATAGCCTTTCCTAATTTATGGCAATTTACATGTAGTCCCTAACAGCGGTTTCTTACCAGCCAATGAAGTTATAGATTGTGTTGTCACACTCTTTTTCAACTGACTACAAGACACTTTTCCCTGTCTGCTATCAGGTGTTTGTCTTTTGGCACAGTCTGGGTCTGAGTCAGTTATTCAGTAGGTCTCTCAGTGGAAAGAGTTTCAGACAGTTCTTGGGGATCAACAGTGAGTGCACAGGCTAATGCCTGCACTTGTCCAATCGTTTGCCAACATTTTCTAGGTTTGGACATGAAAAGTTAGGCTGTGGAAACAGTCGGTGTGTAAGGAGACAATTTCCAAGTCGGGTCTATATTAGTACGGTACCTTCAGTTCTGTTGTTTCTCTTTTAAACAGCGGGATCTGCTCACGACCATTGGAGAGACAGCAGCCCTGGGAGCAGCCGGAATCATTTTCTGGGGTGATGCAGATTACAGTAACAGTGAGGTGAGGATTAACCCTTCGTCGTCCCTGTGCTGGGCTGCTCAGTATCTTTATAACTTCTGCTTCATGACCATCTTCTCCTTTATAGCACCAAGTGACCCCTCTGCCCTGCACCCCTGGGTGGCCCTGACTGGTCACTGGACCCTCGTGATGCCCAACAAGGACAGAGCAGCCGAATGACCCCTGGCCAGGGGGAGGTGTCACAGGGCTAGTGAAAGCAGCCAGCTTCCCACCTGGTGTTCATTGTCCCTGGGGCAATCATTGTACAGAAACCTGCAGGACAGGGCAGTGTCTCCATTGAGTCTGATCATGTTTCCTGGGACAGTGGGGATGGGGGGTTGGTTGGGGGGAGGAGAGTGTTGTGGGAGAGCAGAGACTAAAACAGCCCTTCCTCCCCCAACCTCTCCTCCTCCTCCTCCCGTTCCCCTGTTTTCTATTTCAAATTTTCTGACTTGCCTCAAAGCAGGATATACCTTGGAGTTGATGATGGTTGGGCTCTGGAAGAGGTCTGACTCTTGTTCCCCTTTTGTTCTATAGAATCGCTGTAAGGTATTGAGGAGATACCTGGAAGGGGATTTCGGTCGCTACATACTGAATGTGACAATGGCAGCACAGTACTGCAGCCAAGCGTTGTGCCAGAGCCAGGGTCGGTGTGAACGGAGGGACAGTCAATCTGATACTTACCTTCACCTCAATGCAAACAGCTTCCAGATCCTGGAGCAGAATGTGACTGAAGGACCCAAGCTGCTGCTGACTGGATCCTTGAGACCTGACGATGTCAGGCAGTTTAAGGAGAACTTCCAGTGTCGTTGTTATCGGGGTTGGACAGGTCAAAGCTGCAGCACTGAGACCAGCAATAGCCAGCTCCCTCTGCCTTCTACTCTGAGCCTCATCATAACAGTGCTGCTCTCTGTGACAGTTTAATAATGAAACACTTCCTCTCTTCAAGCCAGGATTGATGTTTCTGAGACAGGAATTTGTTAACAAAGTATTTTTGCCGTTCATATGATCTAAAGCTCCTGAACCTTTCTAAATGGGAGCATTATTTTTTAAGATATTGAATTGTATAAAGAGACATTGTTTGTTTGTTTGCTGGTGAACAATTTCTGGGATTTTTCCTGATATTTATTGGAAAAGCAGCAGTGGTGGGTGTGGAGTGTGGGAAAGTGTCGGGGGCGGAGGGAGCGAGGGGGCAGTGTCGGGGGTTGGGGGGGGGGAAGAGGGCAGTGTTGGGCAATGTGGGAGGGGGAGAGGGCAGTGGTATTTCTGGGCTGGACTGAGCTGTGTTTTGTAAAAGTTCTTGTTTCTGAATGTGTCAGATTCGTTGCTGCTTCTCACTGAGGGTAAAATACAAAACCAAAGACAATTTTTCTTTTAGTTAATTGAGACACAGTTGTCTAGAAACCAGGTGTGTGAGTGTTAATAATAACTACCTTGTTGTCAGTAAAACACTGTGGACCAGTACCAAAGCTTTAAAAGTGTATTTTTTGAAAAGACGAGTTTTAGTGCAGTGAGTTTAAAGAGGCTGCAGATCCCATGGGAATATCGTCCTATCAGCCCTGGTTCCTGCTGTGCCTGGAGCTCGGTCTCTGAGTCAGAAGGGTACAGTTAGGCTGAGGGGAGGGGCTGAGGGAGTGTAAGGTGCAGGTGGAGGGAGGATTCAGGGCTGAGTGAGGGGTGACAGGCTAAAGGAGAAGTAAGGGAGGGGTGAGCACTGAGGCAGGAGTGGGAAGGCGAGGGAGGGGTGACAGAGTGAGGTATCAATTTTGATGGAATTCCAGGGAATTTCATCACATCTGCTACACATTGTTTCTGTCAGTGGTCACGTGACACATCGATCCTTTCAGCAAATGAGTGGTATTAGCATGTAGGGGGGCTTTATCCATGAAAAGAGTGAGGGGGTGGGTGGGAGGGAGTGAGTGATGGAGAGGGGCGAAGTATGACAGAGGGAGAGTGTGTGACAGACGGTGGGGTGGTAGTAACAGAGGAGGCAATGTGTGGGCTGGGACAGAGGCCGTGCTGAATCAGACGAAGGAGTGAGGCTGAGGTGTGGGGTGAGGGAGGTCAGAAGGGTTCAAGGATGAAGAGGTTTGGTTAAAAGGTTAGTTAACTAACCAGGAGTAACAACCCCTGGGAGCAAACGAGGTTGAGGAGAGCTTTTTACACAGCATGAGGTAAAGACCAGGAACATCCTATTCAAGGAGGTGTTGGAAATCAAGATGCTAACAGATTTCAAAAGGATATTGGACATTCGAGGGACAGACACCTGCGGAGATATGAGGAGTGAGGACATTACTCTGTCTGAGTGGCATGGACTCGGCTGGAGGAATGGCCTCCCGTAGCATAAGTGACTATTTTACCGTTCATGGGCCAGTATTTATTGCCCATTCCTAATTGCCCAGAGGGCAGTTAAGAGTCGATCACATTGTGCCTTTGGGTCTGGAGTCACATGTAGGCCAGACTGGGTACACTCTGCAAAGGCATCTGAAGGAGGGTCACCGGACCCGAAACATTAACTCTGATTTCTCTTCACAGATGCTGCCAGACCTGCGGAGCTCCAGCAACTTCTGTTTCAATATGAAATAAATGAATTTTTACAACCATGGACATTGGTCTTGTCGTCATAATCACTGCAAGTAGCCAGATTTTATTAATTGAATGTAAATTCAGACAGTGGCTGTTAGATTTGAATCTGTGTCCCCAGCACTTTAGCCTCAATTCCTAGATTACTAGCCCAGTGAAATTGCCACTGTGCCAACATCCTTCCAAAGTTGAACATTTACAATCTCTCCACTCTGTGAATCTCTTAAGGAGTTCTTTTCCCCCAGGGAACTGTGGATGTTCACTTCCTGAAGTGATGGAGGCACAATTGGATATTTGGAATGAAGGGATCTGGAGATCGAACCACAAGGTGGAGCTGATGTGGAATTTTGACCATGTTTTTACTGAGAAGCACAACCCCACTCCCATTCCTAATTGGGGGGTGTTTTGAACCAGACATGGTTCTGTAAATGGGGTTTGCCCAGAATTAATTGGAGTTTTAAACCAGATGCATTCCACACACAAACTGCTCTGTGTAAACAAAAAAGTTGGCCCTCATGTCCTTTTTAAATTTTTCTCTCCTCACCTTAAAAATATGCCCTCTAGTTTTGAACTCCCCCACCCTAGGGAAAAAACGCTTGTCATTCACCTTATCAATGCCCCTAATGATTTATAAATCTCAATAAATTCACCCCCTCAACTTCCTACACCCCGAGTCTTTTCAGTCTATTTTTATACCTCAAACTCTCCATTCCTGGTGACATCCTGGTAAATCTTTCCTGAACCCTCTCCAGATTAAGAATATTCTTCCTATAATAGGATGACCAAAACTGCACACAATATGCCAGAAGAGGCTTCACCAACATTCTGCACAACCTCAATATGACATCCCAACTCCTACACTCAAAGTTCTGGGTGTTTTAGCATTTCATTTTATTCCAGTTCCACATTACTTGGGTGACTCCTTATGTCCTCAGACAATACATACAGCTTTGCAATGTTCCCCACATCGTAAGGATATAGATATATATCTATGAAAAATCTAGGTAGGATGACAGTATCCCAAGCTTGGGTATTTATATGGGCAAGGTAGACCAGGAATCTTTCAGTCTAGATTACTCACAACGCACATAACAAGAAAGATTTGATTTTTATAAAACTGGAACTTCAGTAAATACCAAAGTGCTTTTGAGTCAATCCTCTTTTTTTAAGCATGAAAAGATTGTGTGTTAAAGACTGGAGTGGGAAACTATTACCTCTGCTTTATAGAATGTTACCATTGTAATGTGAGATATGCACAGCCAACTTGCACACATTATCTCCCATCATGTGAAAATGAGCAAATTCTTGACAAATACATGAATAGGATGGGAATAGAGGGATACGGTCCCTGGAAGGGTAGAGGGTTTTAGTTGTGACGGGCAGCATGTCGGTCCAGGCTTGGAGGACCGATGGGCCTGTTCCTGTGCTGTAATTTTTTTTGTTCTTTGTTCTTTTTGTTATGAAATGCTGTTGGTTTCGGGGGCATGTTTGCAAAGTCTCCTTGCTCATCCAGTAATAGCATCTTGCTGTTTTTTTTCTCAAACAAAACACAGGAGTTGCTGGAGAAACTCAGCAGGTCTGGCAGCATCTATGGAGAGAAAATAAATGGTAACGTTTCAAGGATTCTGGGTAATCCAATATGGAGGACAGGAAAAGCTTGTAGTGGTGAGAGCTGTTCCTTTTTTTTTGAAGTATTTTCAGTTGTGGAGCTGATTTTCCTTGAATTCTAGGAGCAGTAATTATTGTTTTATAAGCTGTTGCATTGTTTTGGAACTTTGGGGAAAAAAGATAAAAACAACAGCACTTTAAAAAGGAGGAAGAGAGAAAAATGCAGTAACCACATGAGAAGTGAAGCAAACTGAGAAATAAATCTGCATTGCTGTATGACCCAGAATAAATCTGCACAGCTGACTGTATCTGCTGTTTGAGTTCAAGTATTTCTGGACATTGGAGTTCATGTAAGAAAAAATAAACAAACAGTGAAATTCATAGCTGACCTTGAAGAAACCGGTGTGAGAAGGCCCACAGCAGGATAGCAGCTAAGTGGCTAGTTTTAAAGTGTAACCATACTGTTTTTCTTTTGTAAATCTACAATAATGAGTAGAATGAGTTCTTTTTTGTTTATATGTTTTTTTTGTTGAGGTCTGTCTCTTGATTAAACTTAAAAAATATAAAACATAGGTACAAAGTTAGTCTGGACCGGTGTTTTTAGAGCAATAAGGCTATTTTCTGGGTCTTAGATTGTTAAGGTGCAAAGATGGTCTTTAGTAGAGTGATGTGCTCTTCCTGTGGATGCGGGAGATTAGGGAGAGTTTCCATGTTACTGATGATTATGTCTCCAGAAGGTATGTTTGGTTGTGAATCCTATTGGATTACATGGATTGGTTGGAGTGGCAGTTAGAGGCAATGAGGAATTTACAGGAGCTAGGGGGTGTGATGGATGGCAGTTGCAGGGAGGGAGATAAACCAAAGATGCAGTCAGGTAGATGGGTGATCTCCAGGAAAGGTAGGAGAAGGAGGCAGGGAGTGCAGGAGTTTCATGTGGCTATCCCCATCTCAAACAAGTATGCTGTTTTGGAAAACGTAGGCGGTGATAGATTCCCAGGGAAATGTAGCCTCGACAGCCAGGTTTCTGATATCGAGACTGGCTATAATGTATTGAGGGGTATGTCAGGTTCCAAACGATCAATTGTGATAGGGGACTGTCTAGTCAGAGGCACAGACAAATGTTTCTGCGGCTGACAGCAAGACATCAGAATGGTGTGCTGCCTCCCTGGTGCCAGGATCAAGGATATCTCGGAGAGAGTGCAGAATATTCTCAAAGGCGAAAGGGACCAGCAGGAGGTCATTGTACACATTGGAACTGACGACGTAGGAAAAAGAAAATGATGAAATTCTGAGGAGAGAATATAGGAAGTTAGGCAGGAATTTAAAAGGAGGTCCTCGAGGGTGGTTGTATCTGGATTACTCCTGATGCTACAAGCTAGTGAGGGTAGGAATAGGAAGATAATGTAGACAAATGTGTGGCTGAGGAACTGGTGCAGAGAAAGGATTCACATTTTTAGAACATTGACATCTTTTCTGGGGTAGAAGTGACCTGTATAAGGATGATTGCACCTGAATTGGAAGGGGACAAATATACTGGCAGGGAGATTTGCTAGAGCTGCTCAGGAGGACTTAAACTAATAATCTGGGGGAGGCAGCAGGTTGTGGTGGTGGGACCCAGGGAGATAGTAAGGAAGAGGTCCGTCTGATATTGGTGCAGTTGGGAAAAGGAGCAAGTCAAAGTCAGGGCAGGCAGGAACAAAGCAAAGAACGAGACTGGACTGATACATTAAACTGCATTTATTTCAATGCAAGAGGCCTAACGGGTAAGGCAGATGTACACATGGCATGGTTGGGAACATGGCACTGGGATATCATAGTAATTACAGAGACATGGCACAGGGATGGACAGGACTGGCAGCTTAATGTTCCAAGGTACAGATGCTTAGGAAGGATAGAAAGGGGAGCAAGAGAGGAGGGAAAGTGGAGTTTTTGATTAGGAACAACATTATGGCAGTACTTAGGGAAGATATTCCTGGGAATACATCCAGGGAAGTTATTTGGGTGGAACTGAGAAATAAATAAAAAAAGGATGATCACCTTATTGGGATTGTACTATAGACTCCGCAACAGTCAGTGGGAAATTGAGAAACAAGTTTGTAAGGAGGTTTCAGTTAGAATAATAGGATGGTTTTGGTGGGGATTTTAACTTTCCAAACATAGACCGGGACTGCCATAGTGTTAAGGGCTTGGATGGAGAGGAATTTGTCAAGTGTGTACAAGAAAATCCTTTGATTCAGTATGTAGATGTACTTACTAGAGAAGGTGCAAAACCTGACCTACTCTTGGAAAATAAGGCAGGGCTGGTGACCATAATAATCAGTTAGTTTTAAAACAGTGATGGAAAAGGATAGACGGGATCTAAAAGTTAAAGTTCGAAATCGGAGGAAAGCCAATTTTGATGGTAATACGCAAGAACTTTCAAAAGTTGATTGGGGGCGCTTGTTCACAGGTAAAGGGATGGCTAGAAAATGGGAAGCCTTTAAAAATGATAATGACAAGAGTTCAGAAACAATATGTTCCTGTTAGGGTGAAGGGCAAGGCTGGTAGCTGTAGGGATTGCTGGATGATGAGAGAAATTGAGGTTTTTGGTCAAGAGAAAGAAGGAAGCATATGTCAGGTATAGACAGAGAGATCGAGTGAATCCCCGGACGAGTAAAAAGGCAGTAGAAGTATACTTAAGGGGGAAATCAGGAGGGCAAAAAGGGGACATGAGATATCTTTGGCAAATATGGTTAAGGAGAATCCAAAGGGATTCTACAAATACCTTAAGGACAAAAGAGTAATTAGGGAGAAAATATGGCCCCTTAAAGATCAGCAAGGCCAGCAATGTGTGGAACCGCAGGAGATGAGGGAAGATACTAAATGAGTATTTTGCATCAGTGTTTATTGTGGAGAAGGATATGGAAGGTAGAGAATGTGGGGAAATAAACAGTGACATCTTGAAAAATGTCTGGATTACAGAGGTGGTGGTGCTGGGCATCTTAAAATCCATTAAAGTGGAGAAATCCAGGGACCTGATCAGATCTACCCTAGAACTTTGTGGGAAGCAAGGGAAAAAGATTGCTGGGCCCTTGCTGAGATATTTGTATCATTGATTGCCATAGGTGAGGTGCTGGAAGGCTGGAGGTTGGCTAACGTGGTACCACTATTTAAGAAGTTGAGAAGGGAGAGCCGGGAACTATAGACTGGTGAGCCTGACATCAGTGGTGTTGGAGGCATTTCTGAGGGATAGGATTTACATGTATTTAGAAAGGCAAGGTCTGATTAGGGATAATCAACATGGCTTTGTGGGTGGGAAATCAAGTCTCACCAACTTGATTGTCACTTCTTCAAAAAATCTCAAAGAGGATTGATGACAGCAGAGCTATGGATGTGATCTATATGGACTTCAGTAAGGCATTTGACAAGGTTCTTCATGGTAAACTGTTTAGCAAAGTTAGATCACATGGAATACAGGGAGAACTAGATATTTGGATACAGAACTGGCTCAAAGAAAGAAGACAGAGGGTGGTGGAGAGTTGCTTTTCAGACTGGAGGCCTTTGACCAGCAGTGTGCCACAAGGAATGGTGTTGGATCCATTGCTTTTTGTCATTTTTATAAATGATTTGGAGGTGAACATGGAAGGTATGCTTAGTAAGTTTGCAGATGACACCAAAATTGGAGGTGTGGTGGACAGTGAAGAGGGTGACCTCAGATTACAATGGGATCTTGATCAGATGGGCCAATGGGTCGAGAAGTGGCAGATGGAGTTTAATTTAGATAAATGTAGGTTGCTACATTTTGGAAAAGCAAATCAGAGCAGGACTTATACACTTAATGGTGAGGTCCTGGGGAGTGTTGTTGAATAAAGAGACCTTGGAGTGCAGGTTCATAGTTCCTTAAAAGGGGAGTCATGGGTACACAGGAACGTGAATGTGGCCTTTGGTATGCTTGCCTTTATTGGTCAGTGCGTATAGGAGTTGTGACCGTACAGGACATTGGTTAGATCACATTTGGAATACTGCATACAATTCTGGTCTCACTACTATAGGAAAGATGTTGTGAAACTTTGAAATGGCTCAGAAAAGATTTACAAGGATGTTGCCAGGATTGGAGGGTTTGAGCAAAGGGAAAGACCGAATAGGCTGGGATTATTTTCCCTGGAGCGTCAGAGGCTGAGGGGTGACTTTATAGACGTTTATAAAATCATGAGGGACATGGATAGGGTAAATAGACAAGGTTTTATCCCCGGGGTGGGTAAGTCCAAAACTAGAGGTAATAGGTTTAAGGTGGGAGGAGAAAGACTTAAAAGGGATCTAAGGAGCAACTTTTTCACACAGAGGGTGGTGCGTGTTTGGGATGAACTGCCAGAGGAAGTGGTGGAACCTGGTACAATTACAACATTTAAAAGGCACCTGGATAAGTATATGAATAGGAAGGGTTTACAGGGATATGGGCCAAATACTGGCAAATGGGACTAGATTAATTTAGGATATCTGGTCAGCAGGGATGAGTTGGACTGAAGGGTCTGTTTCTCTGCTCTACATCTCTATGACTCTCTAAGTCCAGTGACCCTTTAGCTCTCCAGCATCTGAAGTTCATTGTTCTTTATTATTGCTGGGTTTTTTTTGTTTACCTGAGATCAGTTGGTGCTTGAATTGATATTTCATTCGGAATACAGCATTTCTGACAGTGTAGCACTCTTAATAGTATTGAGAATGCTCATGAAGATTTTGTACTAAATGCTGAAGTGGCAACCCTTAACCTCTGACTCAAAGAATGTTCCTGTTGCCCCATTGGTGATCGAAAAACAACCTGGCAATGTTGGTAATATCTTTCTCCAATGTTAAGTCAACACAATCTCAAGACATTAAATGGGCAGTGGCATCGTGGACAGGAAATTGGCTAATAGGTAAAAAGTGACTAATGTTGTATGGATATTTTTCAGACCCAAGGGTCAATATACAACAATGTTCCACAGGGGTTAGCATTAGGACAACTGTTCTAAAGAGAAGAAACCAGACTTCTCCAGCCTCCACAATCCTTTTTGACATTATCCAGTAAACCTCCCTCTACCATCTCCAAGGCTTTGACACCCTTCCTAAAGTGCAGTGCCAAAATTGTTCACAATACTCCAGGAAAGGTGCAGTCTTTTTTTTTACTCATTCATGGGATATGGGCATTGCTGGCTGACCAGCATTTATTTCCCATCCCTAGTGGCACTCAAGATCCTTGACACTCAGTGGCATTACCAACACTGAATCCCACACTATCAACATCCTGGGGGTTACCATTGGCCAGAAACTCAACTGGACTCATCACAGACACACAGTTGTTGCAAGAGCAAGTCAGAGGCTAAGAATACTGAGGTGAGTCACCTCCTGGCTCCCCAAAGCCTGTCCATCACCGAGAAGGCATGAGTCAAGTGTGTGATGGAATACTCTCCACTTGTCTGGATGGGTGCGGCTCCATCAACACTCAAGAAGCTTGATACC